TGTCTCCTTTAAAAATATTTACATAGCATTTAATCAATTAAGATAACTAGATCTAACAAAATACAAAAACTCATTGATTTGATATTGTATAATTCGCCAGAATTCGCACTTATGAACCTAAAAATACATTAAACCTATTCATAAAAAATTAATTAAATGTCAGTCACATATGCTAATATATACATATACAGTATATAATATTGAATTTATTGTAAAATTTTAAATAATATTAGTATATTTATCAACTATGAAATCTAACGTTTTACTTGAGTTTTTTATTTTAGTTTAAATTATTTTCAGAATTTTCAGAACTATTAATATACAAAACATTAACATGTTTTAAAGAGTTGCATGCGATAAAATTTCACTGTTTGAAGTGCTTTCTCACAAAGATTAGCTTTCTTTGACTAAACTGAAGATACTAAACAGTCTGTTAATATACTTCTCCTATTCAGTGTTTTATATATATATATATAGCTACATTTTAATGAATGAAAACTGTATATTTACATATACAGAATACACATATGAACACAATTATAAGTGATTTCGAAATTTATATAATCATTCACTTATAACTGAAGTTCTTAATTTAGATTCATATTTTCGTAGACCGCTTATATTTACTTCAAGAAAAATGTTTAAGTACAAATAAGTAGTTAAATTAGCAAGAATGGAAGACAGGAGCATCAAGGAATGCATCCGATAAATCGTACGGTAGTAACTAAGTGTAACCCGTAACATGGGTCAAACAATCATAGTTTTTGTTGCTTAATGAATTTCAGGTCGATATTAAGTGACACGAGTGTGATGCGAGAGGCCAGGTGTTTGGGAGACCATTTGTGTGACTTGACCCTTTGACCTCAAATTTCTTCTAACAATACTGTACCGGGTCAAAAAATGCAAACGCTACATTCTTACTACTATTCTTACCTTACCTAGTTCTGCATTATATGCAATTAATATACGGCATTTAAATTACGATCGTACAATATCAGTTAATCAGATAATCTAATATGCAAAGAAGTGTAGTATATTCTTTGCATGGAAGAGTAAGGTTAGAATGGACGCAAACAAAACCTTATTTTCACAATGTTTCATTTCCTAAGAAATTGTTATGAAGATAAGGTTTACGTATTGTAATATGATGCTAATATGTGAAGGTTGGAATATAATTGTTTCTATCTTTCTTTGATTTAAATTTTGCTTAAAAATTATATTCCAGCCATTCTGTTTTTTAACACAACTGCTAAAATGTGTTATGAATCAGGAAAAAATGTGGTATTCCTAAATGTTTATATAAAAAAGAAAAATATTAAAAAAAGGGAAAGACCGAAAGACATACAGAAAAGAATGAAACAAAACAAAAATAAACTTAAAAATAGAAGTAAGTTCTCTAACCTGTTTGTTTGTTTATAAGGTTTTGAATCAAGAGGTATTGGATGATAGAGGGAAGTTTGAAGTTTCACTCTGAAAAAATGAAAGTTTTGAAAAGTTGAAGACAAGATATCTGAAGATGTTTGTCTTGCTCGAATTTCGAAGATCCGAAGGTTTTTCGCGCTTGTGACAAAGAATATGATCCGAATCGCATTCCTTACCGGCTGAGAAGTCTCAAGCCTAGAAGAACTGCAAGCCTCAAGACAGTAAGAAATCGTTGATCGTCAGGCCCCCGACCTGGACAAGCCAGTGGTTGGGGGTGAAACTGGTCGAACGTTTCAGAAAATGTTCAAGAAGCATCGAAATCTTTTATGAGTAGGGAAGAGCGTAAGCTGCTCCAAGGTTTATACCGATCATATTCTTTATCAGTTGATTTGGTTAAATAATATATCCGTAAATAGGTGTTATATAATAAATAAACATATATACCTTCGCCCTTATTCCCTCCACCATCCTAAAACCTCCTATTTATCCTTAAGGGTAACATCCTATTGTTTTCACTTTGTATAGGAATAAGCAGCGGCAATTCGAATTGAAACAATTAATAAACAGTGTTTTTTTAATATAAATTATTTACCTGTCATTTATTACCTCCAAAACCCATAAGTAATTATGATAATTAGTAATCCAGAAAAATTTTTTTGAACTTTTATCTGTATCTTATGAAAACTAACAATTATAAATATATAACAAATTCATGACTTGAACTAGTAATAAAAATGGAATATGAAGTTTTATAAATTAGAGAGTATTTATAAGAAAACCTTAGAATTATCATTTCATTTTGATATGAATTATAACTGCAAAGGTTTCTATAGTATAATATGCATAATCTTAGAAAAGTTTGTTAATAATATAAAAGAAGCCTTCCAATATACTAATATTATTGCACCTACAAAATCAGTTTTTATAGAGACATAACTATTTAACATATTAGTACTTGCTAATAGTTATGTATCTATTTATGTATTCACAGACACTTATCAATATTTTGTTAGTGATATTTTTCATGAGAACGTACCTTATGTAGAAATCATACATACATATATTGAATCTTGATAAAAGTATTGCTAGCACTTGGTAGCACATTAGTATCACGTCGTATACGACGGTGATTAGTAGAAGTTCGTTTTGACAAAAGAAAACATGGATCGTTTTGACGTTAGTTTGTTATGGAAATTATGGTTAATCAATATAATAATAGTGAATTGTAATGCTGCCGTAGCAAAGGAACCATATCAAAGTCAAATACCTACACAAGGATTGTATAATACTAGTGATAATGTCGTTATTTTAAACGTTACTAATTTTAAGTCATCCGTTTACGAAGATACAAAGGGTTGGTTAGTTGAATTTTACAACAGTTGGTGTGGTTACTGTCTTCGATTTGCACCGTTGTGGAAAGATTTTGCTAATGATATCTACGGTAAGTAAAGTCAATTTTAACGATTATAAAATAATTAATAATTCACATAAAAATGTATCACTATCGCTTAACTTATTTATTCGTATGAACTTATCTTACTTAATATAATTCTTAAAACATATCGCTTTTTATATTTGCTGTATATCATAATAATCTATGAAAGCACTTTAAGTAAATATAACAATTGTGAATTTATTATTATGAAGCAAGTATGTTTTTAAGAAACCTTTGGCAAATCTAAATATGTATTATCTAAGATCTTTAAGTATGTATTATAGATGAGATTAATCATATCTTCCAAATAATTTATTTCAATAATATTTTTAGCATGGAAAGATATTGTAGTAATTGCTGCAATAGATTGTGCCGATGATGATAATAACCCAATTTGTCGAGAGTATGAAATTATGCATTATCCCATGCTTAAATACTTTTCTGTAAATGCACATCCACCGTCATTAGGATTATTGATGGAGAAGTATGATGATATTAATGAACTTAGACATAGTTTAATAGATTTGTTAGGAAGAGAACAACAAGAAGGAAGAGGTATTTCATGGCCTAATATAGCACCATACAGGTACATCGATTTATACTTCTTTATTTTTTATATTTACTCTTTTAAATAATAGGAGCTAATTATTGTTATGTTTTGATATTATAGAAATTATGAAACTACAAATATTTGGAAGGCTATACCGAACGCTATAAAATATGTCTTCTTACTATTTGAAAGGACAGATTCACATTTGGGTGCTGAAGTTATATTAGATATGCACAAAATTACAACATTACAAATAAGAAGGGTATTATCTGATAATGAATTATTATGTGAGACAAACAAAGTCACAAATTTTCCAAGTCTGATAGTTTTAGCTCGCAATGAGACACAAAAGGTTCTTAAAATCAGAATACCTACAAGAGAAGGTGTTTTCAATGCAATTAAAGAATTTATGATTTCAAAAGCAGAAACTATTCATGAGCTAAATCCTATTAAGAATCATTCAATAAAGAATGAAAATCATAAATTAAATGCTAGCACTACAAAACAATTACAAGCAACACCACAGCCAGAAAGTACAGATATAAGTGGAGATCATTTATACCAACTTGATTTGGAAAATGCCTTAAGATATTCAATCTCTCATGAAATTCCATTACATAAAATAATAAAAGATAAAAAAATGGATGCATTGAAAAGATATTTAAATGTATTGGCTGACTATTTTCCTCTGAGATATGGTAACATTTTTCTAGAAATCACTAGAGATATTATTAAAAAAAGAAATAATATATCTGGGGAGGAATTTAGTCAAATAGTAAAATCTATAGAAGAAGAAATGTCACCTGTGTACTCTGGATCTTCAAAGTGGGTTGGATGTAAAGGCAGTAAAGAAGGATATCGTGGGTATCCCTGTGGTCTGTGGACAATGTTTCATATGTTGACAGTTAATTTTGCTATCCTAAATAAGGATGCTGAACGTGAACCAAGAAAAATATTAGAAGCAATGCATGGGTATATACAAAACTTTTTTGGATGTGCTGATTGTGCTCAACATTTTGTCCAAATGGCTTCAAAAAACAAAATGTTTGATGTGTCTAATGCTAATGACAGTATCTTATGGTTGTGGTCAGCTCATAATGAAGTAAATGCAAGACTGTCAGGTGATGATACAGAAGACCCAAAACATAAAAAAATTCAATATCCAGCAGTTGAACATTGTCCAAATTGTAGATATGAAAATGGTACTTGGAATGAAGAACATGTTTTATATTACCTTAAAACAAAGTATAGTTATAAAGGAATAAATTATTATGATTCAGTCAACACACATAAGGATAGTAATGGCAATAAGTTAAAAATAAGACAAGAAAGACTAGTATTGAGTAAATATACAAATAATAAGAAAATTGGATGGGATTTTACAATTTTTGATATAAGTATTTGTGTTGTGTTATATGTTGCATCTGCTATCATACTTATATTAGTCTGTATAAAATTTGCAGTCAAAAGAACTTATAGAAAACGACATTACGTTAGCTTACTTGCAAAATGTGATTTTTATTTTTGTTAATTGAGATATATAAAACTCAAAAAACTTACATCTTTAAAAAATTAATAACAAAGTTATGAAAATATAGTTATGCTTATAAATATATTGTACATATATCATTTCCAATCATACAATTTTTTTACAAGAATATAATATTGGTAGATATACAATCTTAATTACTGATGTTATTAATTATAACTGATGTTATTGTCTTAATTACTGATTACTGACTAAAATCATTATTCATAAAGCATATTATATATTTATTCTTATTTGTTATAAATGTATTGTATTTGAGATTATAGTGGAAAAGACATAGTGATAATTATGTAAGTTTAATGTATAAAATTTTATAACGAGATTATTCTTTTTTGCCATAGGACACTTTTTTACAATTTAACGTTCATTGACAAATACGATATATTTGTACATTTAATATTATTGTATTAAATTGAAAAATATGTAGTAAAAGATATTTAAGTTCACTATATAACATCATATAATAACAATAATTATAAAACTAGTCCTACCAATGTACAATTATATTATGTTTAATATAAATTATTACAATTATTAAATCTTTATGTATGTAAAATCGACAATCCTTAGACAAATATATTATGAACTGAATCAAACTTTTATGTGTAGATATTAAAATCAAATTCTTCCACTATTTTGTTAAAAGGCATTTATTGTAATATTTTCTTGAATTTGTATAATTTATCTATAATAAGAATGAAAATTAAGTACTGATTTACTATGTATAATTAAGTTCATATATTTATAATAAATTGTCAAAGTACAATTGTAAACAATAATCTGACTTTTAATCTATTCCAATAGTACGCTTTTAAATGTATTACATCAATGTAATAAAATATACATGCTTTGTGATATATACAGTATATAATACAAATTAATCAGTTTAACAAATTTGCTTTTATAAGCTTTACAAAATTTTTACAATTTATATTTATTTGTTTTTAAAGTCTGTATATTGCCATGAATTCGATGTATCCCATATTACACCATTATGGGGTAATTGAGATTTTATATAAGGAAGTGTCCATGTAAGGTACCATCGGTTGCCTAATACTTCCTTTACATTTTGTTTCCAACCTAAGTTATATATGTGTATTTTCTTATTACTCTCATTAGCTATATTACCATTAAGCACTAGACAAAAATGATAAATGCACAGAACTCCTGTGTACAACATTCCTACTGCAGATACAATATACAGAATGAGATAAAACTGATTTGTAGAACCATCAAATCCAAAAATGAATATTGCTAAGGGAAAAATGATTTTAATAAGTGACATAGGAAATTCAAAATGCATTTTACTCCAAATAAAGAGATTATTGTAACAAAAACTATATGTTGTCGCTACAAATAAATATAAAAGAAACATTATAAAGTATCTGTGATTATAATGACCAATACAACATCCAGTAAAAATACAATGATGATCCCTCTTTAAAATACATATATTACATGTAGGACAATGCCATGAACGTGGAGGTGCAAGAGTTTCACATGAAGCACACAATCTCCAACCATCTTTAGTATTTGCAGCACTTATTGGCATAATATCTCTTCTAGTGCTAGTATCGCAAAATATTATATATGTAAAATTACCGACTATGTTTAACATGATAAAATTTCCAAAAAGGAAATGCAAAATATACGGCAATGATCCATGTTCGTGTATTGCCGGTAAAACCACCCATAGTTGGAACCAATATATTATTGGTATAATTGTTAATATAAAAGTCATTGAAAAAAAGTCGCTTAAAGTGCGAGGCCAAATTCTTTTTCGGATTATCATTTTTAACAATTTTATACTTGTATTAAACACGTGATTCTATTCAGTAGATAATATCTACTTAATATGTATATACACTTCTCACCAATACTGGTTTATTCTACAGTGATACTATTTCGTTATAACCTAAAAATTTGAAATCTTTTTAAATATTTTTTTTAATTAACTAATTTCATATATTATATATTTACCGGATCACATTGTACATTCTGTTAAATTCGTCATTTTAAGCGTGCATGGAAATCTGTTCCTGTTATCACTATTCGTAAATTTTGTATACGCGCGAAGTTTGATTCTTCAGTCAATGTACATATTAACTCACTTCATAGCATTCTTCTGTGATTTGATTTGAAAGTGCCTTTCATATACGCATATGTAAGTACGCTACATGTAACTTTCCGCAAATACACTTCCCGTAACAATACTTTATTAAACAATTTTATTTTTTATTATTTTATTGTGTATTTTAGTTACTTGAAGATATTTAAAAAAGTAATAAAAATAGCATAAGTAGCATAAATAGTATGTAGTAGAAAATCTTATCATATTAATTTGCAACTTATTAATTTTATATTACAAATATGGAAACTACAGAAGAATTTCCTTTTCCTTTCCCTCCATATCCAATACAAACTCAGTTTATGAAAGAGTTATATAAATGTTTCGAAAATTCTAAGTTGGGAATCTTTGAAAGTCCAACTGGTACTGGTAAATCCATGTCAATTATTTGTGGTGCTTTAAAATGGTTACTTGACTATGAAAAACTGCAAAAAGATGAACTGACAAGTGCAATTTCTGAACTTGATGAACAAATTAAACAATATATTAACTCCACTGATAATTGGTTTTATGTACAAACTCAACAAATAGAATTAAACCGCAAAAGGCAAGCGTTACAAACAAAATTAAACAATATTGTTCAGTATGAGCAAAAAAAGAATAGTCTGAAAGAAAGAACTAAAGGTGTAAATAGTAAGAAAAAGGATTCATCTACTAAATTTGCAACAAGTTCTGCAAAGGACAGAAGTGAAATAGACAAAAATTCAGTTGATACAAACGAAAAGGGAAGTATTGAGGAAGAATTACTTTTAGAAGATGTTGAACATTCAGAAAGTTCTGAAGATGAAGACAAAGAAGAAATTTATGAAAATATAAAAATTTTCTTTTGCTCTAGGACCCATTCTCAATTATCTCAATTTATAGGAGAACTCAGAAAGAGTCCTTATTCAAAAAATGTATCTGTAATAACATTAACGTCCAGGTGGTTTTTAAGTATTGTGTTATGAAAATGAAATAAAATATAAATTAATTCCTTTTTTTAATTTTGTTAATAATTTTAGGCAAAATTATTGCATTAATAAAAATGTAAAAAAATTGAAACATTTAAATTTAATAAATGAATGCTGTTTGCAATTACAAAGGAAAAAGACAACTGCTAAGGATGAAAAAGATCTTAAAAGAAAGAAAATGACAAGTAGTTGCCCTTTTGTGCCAGGAAACCAAGATTTACTAATAAGAGAAAGCTTAATGCAGATTCGGGATATTGAAGAAATTGTGCAAAAAGGAGAAAATCTTAAAACTTGTGCGTATTATGCATCAAGAAAAGCTGTTTCATATGGTCAATTAATACTGGTGCCATACAATACCATATTGCATAAGAACACTAGAATTAGTTCAGGAATAAATTTAAAAGGAAATATATTAATAATTGATGAAGCACATAATTTACTTGAAGCCATTGAAAATATGCATAGTGTTATAATTACAGGCAGAAATTTATTGCATTGTTATAGCCAACTTTCCCAATATCAAAACAGGTAACATATTTAATTTTGAGCATCATTATTATTATTATTGTTATTGTTATTATTATTATTATTATTGTATTACACATTTTATTAATATATCTGAGAATATAAATAATATTAATTTTAGATTTCAAACTTTATTCTCAGCAAAAAATATTCTAAGCTTAACTCAGTTGAGCTTTTGTTTGAGAAAACTTATAACAGTTTTGGGGGCTACTATAAAATCAAATCCCGATGATGTTATAAATATAGAAGCATCTCCAAAATTATATAAGATAGAAGAATTTGCAATTATGACAAACATTGACACAGTAAATATGTTTGAATTGTTGAAATTCATTAAAAATTCTCGACTGAATCATAAATTACAAGGTTTCATAGAACAGTATGACACAAATTTAAAAATTCATAATCATAACACAAAGACATGTGGTGTAAAACAGTTTTTAAATTCAATTAAGACAAAAAGCACAGAGTTTGATACAATCACAGACATTCAATTAGATGAAGATCGCTCAAATAATCCAATGATGACAATTATAAGTTTCTTAGAATGTTTACGAAGCAACTGTAGTGATGGGCGCATATTTATTATTCCAGGTCCAACTGTTGGACAAAGTATCATAAAATTTCTTTTATTAAATCCAGCAGCGCACTTCCATGATATTAGTATGCAGATTAATTTAATTTAATTTATTTTATTTTATTTTAATATTTCATATTAATTTATTAAGTATTTTTATTTTTAATTTTTGTTTATATGTATAATTATTAACAGTTCGGGATGCTAGAGCTGTAATATTAGCTGGTGGGACAATGGCACCAATGAATGAATTTACAGATCAGTTATTCATAGCAGCAGGTGCTTCATCTGAAAGAATTGTCACATATTCATGTGACCATGTAATTCCTGAAGAAAACATAGTATGTAGCATAACAACTCATGGCCCAACTGGTATTGAATTTGAATTTAATTTTCAAAATCGAGAAAATACAAAATTGGTAAATATGATATTTTAATAATAATTAAATAATAATATAAATAATTCCAATGATTAAAATAAATGATAGAAGATATGATAAATTTCACAATAAAAATATTTCAGTTAGATGAATTAGGGAGGGCATTATTAAATTTATGTAATATCATACCAGCTGGTATTATAGTCTTTTTACCCTCCTATAATTTTGAAGAATTAATATATAAACATTTAGAAAATTCTGGTATTGTTAAGAAACTGTCTTTAAAAAAACATATTCTTCGAGAACCTAAATCAGCTTCTCAGGTACTAATAACATAATCTTTTTACAAATTTTGTTGTAAAATTTTTATACAAATCTAAAATAAATTATACATTATAGGTACATGAAATTTTAAAAGAATATTCGCTTCACGTAAAAAATCCAAAAAATTCACAGAATGGATCATTATTGTTTAGTGTGGTGGGAGGAAAATTAAGCGAAGGATTAAATTTTTCTGATGATTTGGGAAGATGTGTTATAGTTGTGGGAATGCCTTATCCTAATATCCAATCATTGGAATTACAAGAGAAGATGAAATATTTAAACGAAAATATTGTATGTATTTATTTTGTCTCATTATTATGGCAAGAAAAACTTAGTGTCATATAATTTATATGCATGTACATCAATTTATTTTTTGTTTATTAGAAATCAGATGCTGGTCAAAATTTCTATGAAAATTCATGCATGAAAGCAGTAAACCAATGTATTGGACGAGCTATTCGACACATTAATGATTATTCAACAGTAATATTATTAGATAAACGCTATAGTTATAAAATAAAAGCACTGCCACAGTGGATTCAACGTACATTAATCATTCATAAAAGTTTTGGTAGCACAATTGGTGCTATATCTAAATTTTTCAATAAAAAAAAAATTAAATCCAATAAAAAAATAACATAAACAGAACAAAAGATATCTAAACATTATTATATGTATTATTAATATATTTACTGTTACTATTACATTTATTAAAAGTAAGTTTTGTTAACATAGATATAAAATTCTGCATATAGTTCCTACATATAATTTGCAAGATGCACTTCAAATTTATATGTCAGATCATGATAATAAACTTGACCAGGATATAATATAGAACATGGGAAATGTGACTGAAAACAATTCATCTATTATGTCAATCTTTATAACTTTACTAAAAAAGCCAAAGTGCTATTATCATTTATATGTACATAAGAAATACTTACATAATATATTGCATTAGGATAATTTTGTGGTTGAATACTAAAAGCACAATACTTTTTATAATGAGCTCCATGTTTTCCTAAGATAAATTCTATCTTTTTAGGTACAGTCGTTACTTTTTTATAATGTTTTTCAACTTTTATTTCTTCTTCCTCATCTTCATGATCATTTTTATAAACTTCACCAATTTCTTCGGCTTCTTCAATGTCCTATAGTCGAATCAAATTTATGATATACAAGTTATTACTTACATAAATAACATGTTGTTGATAATTAAAACATTGATTTACTTCTAATAAATCATAACTAGATAAAAATTCTGGAATAGTATAAGGTGGCAAACGGCCTCCAGTGTAGAACTGCACCCCACATTGGTCTGAATAAATTTCTAAAGCACTAAACACCAATATATTTAAAACAACTGTATTACTCAATAAACAACTAATATATTTGTTTATATATACCGTCCACTTTTTACATGCCATACTTTGGCAACAAATGAACTACCAGATTGTCCACCTTTTGTAACACATAAATTATGATCAAAACCTTCTCCAGGTGGAACCTAGCAATAATTAAAGGAAAGAGTTCAATATCTTTAAAATATGCAGTTATTTTATACCTTCTCCATGTATTCTCCTAAAATTCGAGGTATTCGAAAGTCCATCACTGTTCCACCTACACCACGTATAGCACCTGTTGGAACTGGATCTGTGTAATCCGCAAATGTCCAACGATCACAATTGAATAGTACTTTATGTTTTCGTAACTCAGATTCTCCAGAATCCTATTACATTTTACACATTTAACTAAATGTATATTTAAAAATATATTACTTACATGTCCAGCTAAATTAAACATAGAACCATGTGATAAATTCACTATTGTTGGTTTTGAAGTTGTCGCTCTCATACATATATCAAGCTTATTTTCTGGAGTTAACTTAAACTTTATTGTAGTTAACACTGCACCTGGATACCCTTCTTCACCATCTTGACTTAAGTAACTCATAATAACTGAACATCCAGTAATATATGAATCCCAAACTTTACGCCCAAATCCATTTGTCTAGTGAGAGCATTGATTATTATTTATATAATATAATATTGTTTATTATTTATATGATGTAACTAATCAATTTACTCCTCCATGTAAATGATGTTTCCCATTAAAATCATTTTTTGTTAATTCATAATCTCTACCTCTAATAGTAATATGTCCATTTTTAATACGGTTTGCACATCTGCCTAATATACAACCAATAAATGGGTTTGTTATAGGATTTGAGTATCCTGTAATAGTTGTATTTTAATAATGACTATTAGCTTCGTTATTATAATGTTAAGAAATGAATACTCTAAAATTATACCTTTTACATCGTCGAAACCAAGGACAACATCAGCAGAATGTCCATATTTATCTGGACATTTTAGAGATATAATTGTAGCACCCCAAGTAATGACAACAACTTCCATTCGATTAGTATTTATCATAGTGTATGATTTTATAGTCTTTGGTATGGGGTCATTAAAAATTTGATCTTGATTATCTGATTACAAAAATCTATTGTTACTTTAAATATTGCAAGTAAATTACATTAATTTTACATAATAAACTAAAGAGAGAGAGAAAGATCATATCAACCACAGCTTACCAACCCAGACTTCTCCAAATATTCCTTCTGTAATTGTTATATTTTTACAATTACATCCATGAAAATCCATATTTAATAGCATAATTATGATTGCGACAATACCTTATTCAATAATTATTGAATATAACAAAATGATATTAAAATTTATAATAAAACAATAATTTTCACCTTTTAAATATAAAAAATAAAAAATATTTTACTATATTCTTTTTTTGTTTAGACAATAGAAAATCATTTACTGGTTTTCAAATATACAAAAGCAGTTTTTACTATAAAAATACAGTAATACAAGGAATTTTATTTTATTTTAAATGATTTATTATTAATAATAATAAGGCATCACCTACAATTTGTGATGCTTTAATGTTACAATAATTATAGTACTTAATGTAATATATATACTCCGGTTACTATTTATAATTTATATAATTAATATTTATAGAATAATGTACAATGCTTGGAAAAATACATGAATTTTTAGTGCAAATCAGACACCGCATCAATACATTTCCCATTCAATTTTCGTATGCTTTATTACATTTAAATTTGTTGAGTAAAAAATCGAAGACAATAATATATCTTATTGCATTTCTTCAACGAAATCACATTTTTTTTGTTTTGTAATTTTGTATAATAAATCGGATAGATGTTTCTTTTTCCCATATATCATTCTGATTTTTAGAATTTCTCATAAATATTAGTGATTATGCAGTGCCCAATATCTTTGTTTGGCAAACTATTTTTATCGCAGAAAATTCTTTGAAATTCCTACCATCTTCGTACAATTGTTATTAGAGTTATATTACATAAAAGATTCGTTTCTCAAGCTTTGGGTTCTGCATTACATTACTTTTTAAGGCGCACACCAAAGCAGTCACTTGTTACTTAAATACACGTGGAACACATTGCACTTAGCTTATTAGTATATTCTTACAACTACAGAGTAATTTAAAATTTAAATAAATCGTCAGTAATTACGGATTTACGAGTTGCAGTACATTCTACGTCTAAGTCTATATATTACAAAAAAAATACTGACAAAAGATTAATTTCACACATGAATATCGAATAATTAAAAGTTGTGATAAAATTACGATAAACTCCGCAATATTAATTATCTTCAAATATAATTGAGGATAATAAAATTGCTTAATATATTTTGCAACAAATAAACATACAAATAATGGAGAAAATACCACAGCAAACACTTTGTGTACATTAAAAGCACACTCATCTCATAATTATCATCTTGGTCATAGGTGTTATTGTACAAATTACTATTTATAAGTAGCATGCAGTTTTAGTGTAACTTCAACAAGAAAATATTTACAATTTAAGTTTATATTGAAAGAAACATGTTTAGAATAACAATATTTGGTCATACTAAATTGTTTAAGTAAAGAAATGATTCGATTTATTAAAAATAATCATCTTATCTGTATAAATTAAATTTTTTAACATATCAATTAGGGAATATATTTACTGGCAATATATATATATGAAGTTATATTTTTTTTTGTAGTTATTCTGAATGTTTCTTCATACATGTTGTCTAATTAACAAAACATATAATATATAAATGATCTTTAATGAAATATAAAACTGGATTTGTTCTATTTTAAGCTAAAAAAGTTATGATATATAAAAAATAAATATAGCTTAGACTAGCACTGTTGGCAATCATATGCCATTACACAATTGATAATTAATAGCTGCCTAATATTACATTCGGTATAAGTAAGTTACGGTTACTATAAACAAGTATTGGTATTAGCATTCTAAGATTTCATTAAATATTTTTCAATTACCTTGGAAGCATTTTCAACTTTTTTGTCTCTCTTAACATATTAAGTACATGATACTAGCACCGCAGAATATCTTTGTACAACATAGAAAGGCATATCCATGAAATATTTATTCTATAGGTCTCTAATAACATCATAAATATTTCAGTCAACCGATTAATTAATTGTAATTATATGCAAGATTTCACAAATTGAACTTTGAAAAAGTATAAGTGCGATTCAGATGAAATATATAATATTATATGCATTTAATAAATTTGTATATGTATAAATGCCAATTTAATGTATCCAATATTTCTATTTCAAAAACATTTAAATATATATGTTCAATACTCGGTTGGTTTTATCTTGAAAAGAATTTTTTAGTGAGGCAGTACAAAAACTTTTAAGTGGATAAAAGAAATTATTTATACAAAGAAATGAATTAGAAGATAAAAATGACCAGGAAATACTTCTTCAAAGTTTATCCTTTTCTCTTTCATTAATTCTATATTTTATATATATTGAGACATATCCTACAATACTGATTATTACTCAGGAAATCATTATAAAAACATATAAGTTTTGAAGTAAAGATTTGTTTTTTTTTCTCATATTTAATATTTCATATGAGGCAAAGAATAAAAAAAAGAATTATTTTGATTCATCATAAAATAGCGTAGAACATACGCAACATGTAAATAAGTTTTGATTACCTTTTGTAAGTTTAATCTAACTCATATGTTAGTTGTTATTTAGTATAGAATCAATAAATTAAACACATACACACGTAAAAATCAAGATTAGTTCAGTTTGTTTTAGCAATTATAAAAATGCAAAATATAAACCATCATAGAGAGTTTCATAAATTAATTTCCTTTCTATTTTCTATCCAAATGATTGAAAAAAGATAGGAAATAAATTTGCATAACTCTCTGTATTCTGATCATGTATTAGCATTTTAAGTAAATACAAAATAATTTCTAGGGCACTCATACACATACTTTATACAATGAAACCAATATAAAGGAATGTATTGATCATTATTACATTGTTAAACAAACAATAACTGTCCAATATATGTATACTTGTATATACAATAGTGATTATGTATATGGAGTGTCCTTGTTCTAAACTTTTTGAAAGTATATCACATAATAGATGGCTATATAAATGAACTAAGTATGTCAAACATTTTGCTACATGTATGCCAATTGTTTCAATGCATACTGTTTTCATATATAAAAGAAGTATTGTTTTAACTGCACATGGTATACTAAATTAAACCTATTATTCTAGTAGCATACAAATGCATTAAAATTGCTACTGTACAAACTTTTCACACGTGTATCTAGTGCCATGGTACTTGTATAAAGATTAAACATTAATAAAATAATATATGAGACCTGATAATTTAATATCAAAAGAAAACGTATATCTATTATAATTCTTATGAATTTCTTATGTTTCATACCTAAGCATATGCAGGAAAACACTGTGACTTTAGGAAAGGTTACTATTATCTATTGCTCACAATATAAAATTACTCTACAAATATACATACATATATTGTCATAAAGTAATGTTGAAAAAAATCATAAACAATCCTATTAAGTAATCATCAATGTTTTCCTGATTATATGTTTCATTTTGTTATGCAATAATTAGTTTCAACATTTAACTATCTTTTTCAGTCACAAAATTTTGATGGAATGTAAATTATGATTAGCATTAATATTTGTAATAAATATGAGCAGACAGTTGTAGAACTAAAGGAACAACAAAGTCTCATTTCTCTAAGGTGGTATTAGACAAACAAATAAATGTATAGAATTCAATCTCTAATATTCTGAAAAAGGAGCTAATATTTTAAATTGTATAATATAACAAGTATGTATATACGATTTTATATACGTTTTTTCAGAGTATTTGAATTAAAATATTTATCCTTTTCCAAAGTTTTTCAAGTACTCATGCAAATAATAGAAATATATGATATTTGTATGCTAGATGCTAACAGCAGATGCAGGATGTGCGGAATGTATGAATAAAACATTTATAATACATAAAATATGATTTAAAAACATTGTGTAGTACAGAATGATCAATGCAAATTTGTCATCTTGATAATTATACTATTTCTACAAAACATACATGAGACATATC